GGAGATTCTTATGCCAATAATGTGTTAATTATTTATGAAAACAATTCTAAATACAAATTAATTTAAAAACCGTGCAAATTGGATATAAATTTAGGAAGCAAATAGTTGTATATTCTTAACTAATTCTTCCAATCTTATTGGATAATTTTTTCTTTCAAAAAAATTGTGCAAATTCATAAAGTCGCGTGCAATTTTATTTTAAAATAAAACTGATATTTGGACGTGATGTACATTCAAAATTGTGTCCACGTTTTTTTGGTAACAAAAGTGGTTCATCATTGATATGTAAAGTCACCTTATCCAATTATTTCGGAAAAATTGTGTGCAACTTTTTAAAATCTAAATGCATAGATTTTTTTGGATTCTTATGTTTTTTTATTAACTATGTTTTACCGAAATTTTGGTAAGTTCATACCATTTATTTTTTGGTTAAGCCTATCTTTTTGTTTAGGAAATAAACAGTTGCATAAACATTAACAATTTAATTCATTTTTTTATTAGAGTTATTTTCAATTCAATGTGTTTGGTACAAAAATCGATGCAACGTTAAAAAAATTCGGTTGCATTTTATGAAAAATTGATTATTTTTTTGCTCAATTTTTGTTTGATAAAAAATCAGTTTATTGGTAGAAAAATCGGTTTCATTTCTAGGAAAAACTAACGATTCTTTTCAATGTTTCTTAATTGAAATTTAGAATTAGATTTAAAATAATTAATGGGTAAAAATCTTTAAAAAATGTGTCAATTGTTTATGAAAACAATTCTAAATACAAATTAATTTAAATCCGTGCAAATTGAATATAAATTTAGTAAGCAAATAGTTGCATAAATTTTAATCAATTCTTCCAATCTTATTGAATAACTTTTTCTTTCATAAAAATTTTGCAAATTCATAAAGTCGCGTGCAATTTTTATTTTAAAATAAAACTGATATTTGGACGGGATGTACATTCAAAATTGTGTCCACGGTTTTTGGTAACAAAAGTGGTTCATCATTGATATTTAAAGTCACCTTATCCAATTATTTCAGAAAAATTGTGTGCAACTTTTCAAAATTTAAATGCATCGATTTTTTTGGATTCTTATGTTTTTTCTTAACTATGTTTTACCGAGATTTTGGTAAGTTCATATCATTTATTTTTTGGTTAAGTCATCATTTTCTTTATCAAATAGATAGTTACATAAACATTAACAATTTATTTCAAATTTTTATTAGAATTATTTTCAATTCAATTTGATTGGTACAAAAATTGATGCAAGGTTAGAAAAATTCGGTTGCATATTTAGGAAAAATTGATTATTTTGTTATTTGGTAAAAAATATTCGGATAATTTTGTTTGATAAAAAAATCAGTTTATTGGTAGGAAAGTCGGTTTTATTTCCAGGAAAAACTAATGATTCTTTTCATTTTTTCTTAATTGAAATTTAGAATTAGACTTAAAATAAATAATGGGTGAAAAATTTTTGAAAAAAATCTACTTTATTTCTACTTTATTATTTTTTTAATAAATAAGATTTTTTTTCACTTGTTAACTAATAACTAATAATATGTAATTTTGGATAACTTCGAACACCTATGTAGTACTTTACGTGCCAAAAAATCAAATCAATTATTTTGTACATAAGGAAGTGTTTAATAACATATAAATTTTATTTTCATGAAATTTTAATGGCATGAGACAATTTAAATGCAAAAATACCTTTCACAAAATAAATAGGTAATAAATGTTCCCGTGCATCGCACGAGTACCGTACTAGTATATATAAAGAGGAAATCTATTTACCAAAAATAGTAGCAAAAAAAAAATAGGTCAGCATTTAATGCAACAATATAATTTAATTATTTTCTTAAAAAATATGTTTTAATTTATATATATATATATATATATATATATATATTAGTAGTTTTTGTAATAAATTCAAATAAAATGTGTTACTTAAATATCTAAATAATTTAAAAATCCAAATGTTTAAACTAATTGATAAACAATTTGTAAATCTGTATTTTATTTAAATATGTAATTTTATTTAAAATAATTTTAAATATAGCAAAATTTATTTAGAAAATCGTATCGATCCTACCAGTTCAACCGACAGGTGTTGATCGATTCAATAGCAAATATTTTATTCAAGCGAACTACATTGATTATAAATCAGTTCTCGGTCCATCAGGTTGGACTGTGTCCAACACGGTTTAATTTAAAAACGATAGGTAAATCTTGATTAATTTATTTGTATATTTAATTTATAATACAATCGTAATATTGTTTTCCCGTGCATCACACGAGCCACGCACTAATTGTATATAAAAATATTGCGTATATTTTATGCAACAAAAATAAGTATTTAATTCAACTGTTAAAATTGTGTCCAATAAATTACATTTAAGCATTATTCCTTAGAACATATGACTATTAAATTGGGTTGTTTTAAATGCTAAATCACGTTTTTGAGTAGTTTTACTCCATAACTAGTATGAATCTCGTGCGATGCACGGATAAAAAATATTCATCAATATTATAAATAAAAAAATACTCATTAAACCGGCCAACCACCTGCGAGCATGCCCATGCCGCCACATGCCAACGCGTCAGTGCGTCGGTCCAGCTCGCCTCGGCACCGATGGTCGTGGCTCGACCTTTGAAACCCGTGCGTCGGCTAGGCCGTGTCAGAGGTGTTCGTGCGTGCCCGAGAGTTGCTACGCCAGACCCTGACCACGGTCGAGCCGGGCCGCACCTAACCATCGAGTGACCGACCGGTCCTGAGCGAGCCGTCAGGAGTTACATAGTAATAAGAGGGACGATGAATAGTAACGTGTTAAAACTTAAAAATCATGCTTCTCCAAATCCTTCCAATTTTATTGGGGATTCGGGAGAAAAAGTGAAGAGTGAAATCCACTTAGGTATTGTTTGGTTGGGGGTAAAAGGAGGGAAGGGGAGGGGATGGCTTTTCTTATTTTTCCCTTGTTTGGTTGGGATAATTGGATAGGAGGGGAGGGAAAATTTTAACTTAAAATCCCCTTCCCTCTCCATTTTTGCTCCCCTCCAAAAATGAGGGAATTTGGAGGGGAGGGAAAATTTTAGTACATAAAGTTACAATTTTACCCTTACTGAATATAATATTTTAGTTTTTTATTTCTAACATCATTAAGAATAAATTTGTCATTATAACATTATTTTTCCTCCCCTTCAATTTTTTAATCAAACAAGGTTTATCATTTTCCCTTCATTCACCTCCTACAAAATCACTCTAAACAAGGTAAAATTATTTTATATCACCTCCCCTCCCCTTCCTTTCCTTCCATTAAAATCCCTCACCTCCCTCGCATGTTGAACCAAACATAGCCTTAAAATTTTCGTCCCTCCTCCCATAATTTTGCAACGAAACACTACCTAAACGAACTGCTGAAAGGGGAGTGAGAAAAGGAAGACGAGATAGAGGCGGACGACGGAAAACATGACGGGTGTTGCAAGCATCTGTTCTTCTCAGCCGCTCGATACCACCACTCTTCGAAGGTCCAAAGTGTGAAAGCACAATATGTGAAAACCTCCGATAAGTTGCTTGTGTTGCTTACGAGGTATTTATTTCTGTTGAATCACAGTCGAGTCGCGGAGCTTAAAAATGTGGAAGATAATTCAGGACTTGGTAATGAGGGTGCAGAAAAATTGCAAAACAGCGTCGCAGACGAGCTCGAGGTATAAATCGAAATCCCTCTATTTTTGTTGTGATTTTCGTATTTCATTTGGCTTCTAAAATTGGGGAGATTTCATTCCAGAGCAGAATTAATTGCATTCTATCGGAGTATTCCTCGCATTTTTTGTCGTTCTCTAGTGAAGAATTCGGTAAGATAACTTTTTTTCCCCTTTGGAGTAGTAGTTATTATCTGCAGCTTCTCCAAGGAAGTTTTTAAAAGCGTTTGCTGAGTTTTTTTTTCTCTTTATTATCTGTAGATGAAATATTGAAGCAATTGAGGAAAGAGCTGGTCGAAGTGGAGTCTCAGAATGCAGATGTCAAATGTGAAATTGAAAAGCTTGAAAGGAGCTGTGTGGAAGGTGGGTATCTTATTGTGAAATATGAGTTATAAACTTACTGATGATAATACTTGTTATAATTTTTAAAATCTTTAAACAGAATGAGTAAGTGTTTATCTCTTGTTTATATATATCTATACATTCTGTGTGTGTGTATAAGTATGGATATGTTTAATTTCGTTGCAACTACATTGGTTAGTAATTATTTGTAATATTTTCCACACAAGTGGATGGCATTGATTCCGGTTCTTCATCATTTACACATGCAGGTTATGCTGAAATAGAGAATGAGCTGGAGAAATTATGCTGTTCATTGGAAATTATTGAGTCGCAGGTTTGTTACTTAGATTGGAGCGCTCGAAGAACAAATTGCTGCTGATCATAGTGTTTTTTTCAATGCCAACTGCCATCACAGTGTTCTTTTTATGCCAACTGCCAGTCATAGTTTTACTTTTACATAGGCATGCTAACAATACTTTTGTCCTTGGTCTGATGCAGTTTTACATAATTGTGTTTTATTCTTTTACATGTTAAGAGCTGTCACTAGAACATGGATTCTTTTTCAATCATAGCAACTAAGCGCGTAGTTTCAAACTGAGTGGGAAATTAGCATGATAGATGTTCAGCCTCCAGGTGGGATGGTTTGAGCTGTGGCCAAATTATGATATGAAATTAAAGCTATGCTATATTTATTGATGTTTATGGTCCCTCGTCTCAATTCCTGGTTTCTATTTTAACCCATTTTCGGTGGACACATGAAGGAAGAGATGGAATTGGAAGGGACTAGAGGAAGTAAAAGAAGATACCAAATTAATGCATGGGAGGAGTGCTAACTAGGTTGAAATAGATCCAATTTTATGTGACGTGCTATGATTCCCTTCTTCTTAGAAATGAAATTTCTTGGACTATTGATTGATAAATTAAATAATTCACTATTGAATAATTTGATAGGCAGTCTTGATAGAAGAACAGCAATTAGAATGTAATAAGAGAAATGTTCGTAGTAGTTTGGTACTCGTGATATATTTTAGATAAAGCAGCAGCAGTAAGGTAAGAGCAGGAAGGAATAAGGTGCACATAAAATTTGGTTTACCTAGTGATTGAAAAGGCGTCGCCATGGTGTGAGGTTTGGAGTGGCGGCCAAGGGCCCATGCGAATGTTTAACGATGTGACGCGTGCACCACATAAAATATTTGTTGGTTGTTCTTTTTTTTTTTTTCTTGTGGGAGTAAGGGTATTTATGTTGATGGTGGATTTCTAATGTGTAGTCTTTTGTTTCATGTTTATTAGCTATCATGATTTGTTTTTTCATGCACATACTTATGTCATAATTGGAGAACCAACCATAAATCTCTATTTTTACATATTTGCTAACCGCGCTTCAATGAGGTGAGCGCCTTGCCTCACATCTCACTTCGTGGAAAATAGGAGGCTTGTTTCCTTAGTTTGGTGTGCGCCATTTGTCAGGTTTATCTGATGAATAATCCAGTGGTAGTTGGGAAATATTTTGAATGATTATTTCAACTAGAGACCAGTCAATTTTTTTATGATACAGTATCATCTATAATTGATATACTGCCTCTTCTACTTTCTATTTCTGTTCAAATCTTATATTCGTATTGCAGGCACCTGAGAAAGCAAAAGAGAATACGGAAACAGATGCCCCTTCCCCTGCTCATTATCAGACAGCCTTTTTGGATGACAATTTCTCCAACTTTAAGGTTTTTCAAACGAGTGTACACCCCTTTGTATGTATGCAGTTTCATGATTATGAGTCACTATGTGGGTTTTCAAAGAAAGAGAAATTTTAAAGACCCATGTATAAGCAAGCCTTCGATTCTGTTCTTGTGCTTATTAGTATATCTAAATTATCTTACCTGGGACTATTCTTGCAATCTGATTTAATCCATAAGAGCCAGCAAGCATAATATTGTGTTCTTTAATTTAATGGAACCTCATTATTTCCTTGATCTTTAGTAGTGTTTGCTAGTGAAGATTTTTCCCCGAGGCAGTCATAATATCACTTGCCAACATGCTTATTTGTTTTCATTGTCATGTGCAATTAATTATCATGACAATTTACCTGAATTTTTTGTTTGCTGTGAAGATGTTAGAAGTCAGTCATCAGATTCAGAAAAGCAGGACAACTTTAAAGTCATTACAGGATCTTGATTATATTTTTAAAAGGTATTGCACTTTAACATAACCATGGCTCCATTTTCCCTGATGTTCTATGTGATTCTTCATGTAACACAGGATACTGTTATTATTATCAGGTTCGAATTAGTTGAAAAAATTGAGGATGCATTGGCAAATGTTCGATTAGTTGAAGCTGAAGGAAACAAGATCAGATTATCATTGAAGACTTACATTCTATACTTGGATACTATATTATTGCAGCAAGATATAGAAAATGTCATCGAGCCATTAGAAATGAATCATGAGCTAATAATCGAGACTGTTGATGGAACTTGTGAGCTAAAGAATGTTGAGGTAAGGCTCTTATAAAAGTTTTTTCATGAACTGGATCAGATTAGGCTGTAGTCTTTGTCAACATTCGCCAGAAATGCTCTAGAGGACAAATTTTACATTTACAGAACTTGCTAGAAAGTACGGTTTAGAATGAAATGATTTGTAATCCATATATTATATAAGGGAAAGTTCATCTGTATAGGCAACACTGAATTCAACTAAATCTAGGAAGCTGGTTGTTTGGAAATCAAATTTCCTGTAAGCTATCTAGAATGGGAACTATATACATTCACATTTTCTAAAACACTCACCTTAAACTGGAGCATAGATATCTGTCATGCCTAGCTTGTTACCAATGGTGAAGATGTCCCCTAGTTGGTCCCCAGTCTTCACATAAGTCATTGAAATCTGGTTTTGTTGAATCTTCTCATGAATGAAGTGATAATCAACGGTTGTGTTTGGTTCATTCATGTAAACTGAAACTATGTTCATCAATCAACCTTTGGAAACGAATGTTACCATGCTCGAATAATTCTGTTAAAGTTTATCAATCCCTAGATTTTCTTTTTTGTCTTTTATCTAAGGGTGCTTCTGGTGATGTTTATGTTGATCCTTCCGGCATGTCCCGAGAAATAGAAGTAGAAGATTCATTGTATAAAAGTTGAACGTGTTAAGTCGGATTAGCCTTTAGTTGTTACAAATGACAGTTAGTTCTTCGATAGATAATTTGGTTAACAGAAATGAACAAATATAGTCATCTGAGCAATTATTTTTTTCAATGTGCATCATGCAACAATGTTACATGCGTAGACATTTTAGCTAGGTGAAGACCATAAACCTACATTTCTGATGCTTTATGTTTATACTTATCCTCTGATATTAAACATTTTTTACTTATTGTCTACAACTCCTACTGTTTGAATATATATCTTCAGCTGTAGTTGAGGTGTTTAACTTTATAATAATCATGGATGTTTTTCCAGTTATTGGTGCTTTCAATTTTATTTTTCTGAAATAAACTTACATTTAGTCACTGTTTAACATCACATCTGCTGCTCAATGGATGCAGATTTTCCCAAATGATGTATACATTGGTGAAATTTTTGATGTGGCAAAAACTTTCAGGTCTGATTTTTTTTCCTCGAATATTCTCTCCCTTATGCCTGCAGAGGACACATGATTTGAAGCTTGCTTTTATTATGCTTTTTATGTTTTTTCTTAGACCTTTATCATTTGACTTTATTAAGGTTGCAGACAACCGCTTTAAGGCAAGCTACATTTTATCCCTTTTTATACATCGTGTAAACTAATAATGGCTAAATTATATGGGAAAGGAGGGCTAAATATGATGAAGGCAACACTTTTCAAGAAACTTGGGGACAATAATCAGCCATTGCACCCTGGGCTATATAATATAGACTACGGAGTGGAATAGCACTAGATGTCTGTAGGATCATATCTAGAGCAGTGAAAATGGGATAGGCCTGCTGAGCTGGTCCTCCTGTTTCATCCCTCATCCTTCTGGAAAAAATTGGTGGGTTGGATTTAGACATTTGGAGGCCTTTTTAGAGGTGGTCTAAACACGCCAACCCTCTGCTGGTTGTGCCGCGCGGCTAGCCCACCCAAGAAAACAATATTAGTTTCTTTCTCGCTTCTAATAAAATATCATAAAATATTTATAAACTTATTATGATGTATATGCGCAATGACTAAATTTCTTGAGTGCTTTTATTGATTTACTAAGCTTGGTCATCTAGTATCTAAGGCTTTATGTTCTTCTTTTGAACTTAAATTTTTCTGGTAGACTTTATTATTTTTTTTATTAAATTAAATATTTTATTGCTTATTATATAATTAATCTGTTAATTTGCATAATATATAAAAATGATTTATTTTTGGACATGCAGATATTCGTGGTGATGGTGTTACCAGCAATTAAGAATAGCTTTCTTGTTTTTATGGTGCATTGTTAGTGATTCTGTACTCCTGTTTAAGGAAGTAATTGCTGTTACAGACTTATTTGTTGTTTTCTTTTTGCATAATCATATTTTATTACACTTAATTATGCCTGTAGGATTGTGATGCCCATTAGGGTTAGGATGTTATTAAAGAGTATCATTCTTAGGATTTAGTGTGGAATAATGTGTCTGTTTAAGATTGAGCAGAAAATGTCTTCCTGATTTGACGCTTGCGCTTGGGACAAGCTTGTTAAAATTGTTTCTTGTTCAATTTAATTAAATATTTTTTCAATTTTTTTCCTTTTGTGAACCCTCAACTCTATCGAATGTACTTGAGTTGTACGGGATACTAAATTCCAGGATGTTTTTTTTTTTTACTTTATGAAACTAACATGTATAATGATCCAATTCCAGGCAAGTTAATCCTACACTTTCAGACAGTCAGACCCGATCTTCATTGGAGTTTTTCGTTAGAAGGGTATTGGACAGAATTGCCTTTTCTTCACTTAAACAGTTCGTGGTCAAGAATGCAAATACGTCAAGGTAAGTTAAGGTCAATTTACGGTTTTTTTTTTGTCTATGTATGAGCAAATATTCTTTTAGCTGCATCCTGTGTAGTATGGATAATTGGAAATTACATAATAATAAATAGTAGTAGTAATACAACACCTGTGTTTTATACAATATTAATTAGAAATTATATACTTAAAAGGTTAAAAATAAAAATATGTCTGCATTAAATTTTCATATACTTATTGTTTCTAAAAAAAATGACACTAAGATTTGCTTAATTCATATCATATAATATATGATAAACTTGATAGATAAATTTAATTAGTATTTAATATTTTTTTATTATTTTTCAAATAGAATATATTGTATAATTAAATTTTTATTTATAAAGGAAGGTATAATTTTTTTTTATATGCAATATGAATGTCAAACCGAAGATCATAGAAAATGATTAATTGGATATATCATATATAAAAAATGGATAACAAATATAAAAGTTATTAAGTTTTAAAATATACTTATAATTATTATAAGTTAATCAAGTGTTCCATAATTTTAACAGTCCTAACTATCACAATAAAAATTAAAATCTACATGAACTACTTTGAAGCACCAGAATTTGGCATATAAGATTACAAAGCACCAGAAATTGACACATAGGATTATGAGGCACAAGAAGTTGACACGTAGGTTCGGTAAACTCTGCATTTATATATATATATAGAGAGAGAAGATATGGTTACCTATTTTACCTTGTTAGGAAACTGTAAATCTGAATTTGTGGCAATGAACTTGTGATTCACATATTGGAGAGAATAGTGCTGCTCTATTTTTCTCAATTGTTTGTTCCCTCATTTTAGTAGTTTACCCCAATAGGCTAAATGTAATTTCCTATGTGCTGTTGTTTTATATTAAACAACCAGCTTTGGAGGGGCTTTGAGGCCTTTTTGACTAGAGGAACAATATTTCCTCAATGACACTTGTGCATTGATTAATCATGGTCCCAGTAAAACTTTTTACTAACTGTAAATAACTAACAGCAAAGCTATCCATTGTAATGCACATGTCTGTCTTGCCTTCGAAGAACATGTAGAGAAATTGTCTGATGTGCATTATAAGAATGTTCTGCATGACCCATTTGCACTATTATTTGTTTGATCCAAATTGTCTGCTGTGCGTTATAAGAATGTACTACATGACCTATTTGCACTATTATTTCTTTAATCCTCGTCTCTTTCAAAGAAACAATTCTTTAAGCTTTATGGAGCTGTTAAAGATTAATGTGCACCAAGGTGCCTAGACTCCTCAGGTGGAAAATATAACACATGTGAATTTTGCACATTAGGATCTTAAATTTCTTACTGATTTTAAAATACAGAGAATTGGCATATAAACCAAAAGGATACAGTGGTGCATCGAAAATAATCTCATTATTATTTTTTAAAAAATGACATCTGTATGTCATCAGTTTTACTGACTCGTCTTATGTTTTGATAGTTTTTAACTCATATCATATGATAGACTTGATAAGTAAATATATTTCATTTGTTATTTTTCAATTATGATTTGTAGATAAATTAATTTTGATTAATGCAATTAGATATAATTATTTATCATTTTGGGAAAAAATCATAAATGGTACCCGAAGTTTACATTCTTTTTGTTTTCGGTACTAGAAGTTTTCACCTAATCACTTTCGATATCAATTAGTCACTTTCTATGCATTTTGTTTAATATCTGCTGAAAACTAATTGTTTATGGCAATGAATCGTTAACGCTGCCACAACCACCACCGACATTGCGGAGATCTCAACAATATGATGCATCATTAATTTTCAAAGACATCATTAATTTTTCACATGATGCATAAAATTGTCAAATCATGGTTAAAGTTAAAAAATATAAAGAAGTTACGACTTAATTTTGCGAGATCTGTTAGATTTTCATGGAAAATATATATTTTCCTTATTGAGGAATTCTAACGGTATCTCCCTATTGGCGATTGGATCTCTCAATTGATGGAAATAAGCCGGAGAAGTTTCCAGACGCCGGTTGGCTTGAAAATTCAACTAATGATTTGTGATGATTCGGTTGTCCAAATTCAATGGATGAACTCTTGTTTGTTTTGTGTCTCTTTTCATGATCTACAATCTCTCCATCAATTTCACGTTTCTGAGTTCATATAAAACCTTATTTCGAGTGAAATGCTTTGCGCTATTTTTTTAATTTATTTGAATTTTTCAGCAAAACCGCAAAACTTCTTCCCACCTTTTCCAACAACTTGATTATCAAAATTAATGAATGAACTCTTACTTTGTTCTCTTTCATGATCTACAATAACTCTAAACCAATTTGACATTTTGAGTTCATATGAGACTTAAATTTTGAACGAAACGTTTTGTGCTTTTTTATTTTATTTCTATTGAGTTTTAGTGACATCTGGAAACTTCAGCGATTCCCGACAACTCAAATGTCCAAAGGGTCCAAAATTGATGGATGGAATCCCGGTTTATTTCTCATCTATAATGACCTCATTAAATTTTATATTTGGAATTCATATGCGTCTAATTTTGAACTAAATTCTCTGCACTTTTCTTTTCAAAATTAATGGATTTTTCTACAAATTTTCCGATGGCGGCAAGTGCGACAACTGGGAGTTTGATGGGAATAGTTGGCTTTTAAAGGATTTTTAATAGAATGGATTTTTCTACAAATTATTACATTCTCTGCACTTTTCTTTCAGAATGCGCTGAGCCTAATGTCAATCTCGCACACTTTGTAATCTTATGTGCCAAACTTTCATGTTTTGTCATTTGGATTGGATGGATTTTATTTTATTTCCAATAAAAAATAACTAGGCTTGGAATATTCATATGTATACTTGATATTTATGAAATTTTAAGAGCATTAATTATGTTAGGCTTGGAATATCCATATATATACCTGATACTTGTGAACATTTTTAAGAGCATTAATTATTTTGTAATATTATTTCGTATTCTAGACGTGGTTTATATTCTAGACTTGGTTTAAAGTATAATTTATTTTTCTCCAATCTTTCTTTTCTTTTTCATATTTCTTTTATATTATAAAAAAATTACTAACATAAATTATAAATATATTTAAAAACTAATTCTTTTATATTATTATCAAATTTTCATATATAATATATCAAACTAATCATGGTTTGACGAGATTCGATTTGACATCTGCATTGTACATGAAAATAAATAAATAAATAAATATATTTATATTTATCTTTATAATAAAAAATGAATTTTATATTAATATTAATTAGAAAATAATTATATAAATTAATTTAACTACAATTTAGTTATATGCTATACTTAAAAAGATATTATAATATAAGATGCTAAGTCGTATAAGTGACACATGTCATTTTAAATATAAATAAAAATATATATTAAATAGAAGTACTTTTTTTTAGTTTTAATTTAAATTATAAATTTCATAACAAGGTATTGTACTAGTTGCACGTATAAAATAAAATAAAAGATAATCATCTATGTAAACAAATTCATAGTTTATTTATTAATGTTGATTAAAAATATCATAAATATCAAAATCCTATTTGTTCAAATAAGAGATAATTTAGCCATTTTTTTTTTATTTTTTTGACTGCATGCGCTACAATGATTTAACGAGAAATTAATTGGTTACAAATAATTTAATTTGTTATCTTTAAATGATTCCTTATGTTGGATTCCTTTTTAAAGAGATTAAGAAAGATTGACATGAAGTTTGGAGCAAATGTCTTTTAATATAAAACATCACTTATTTTGGAACAAATAATTAATATTTAAAATATATTATGTGATGATTAAATAAGCTATAATTATACATATATAAGTTTTGTTCTACACATAATGTATAATGCAGGAAAATTTTTTACTTGTAAACAAAAATTTTTATTTATCTAAAACACAATAATATGTATCTCCTTAGCATGAATTTCTTACGCAATTTTGGTAATGAATAATAATATGTCAACAAATTATTTATGCACTAAGCACAGTTAATTGGACTACAAACTAAAAATTTTCTACAATATGAAACAAACATTTCGTAATTCATATATATAAATCAAGGGCAAGCTATGCACCATCGGGTTTGTTGTGGACCTGTATAAACATATAACACACACACACACACACGTGCATATATGTGTGTGTATATATATGATGACTAACATGAAAGCTAAATGTATATACATCGCATGTTAAAAAAAAATTGAGCTTTCTCAAATTTTTATGTTGAATGGTAAAACATTTAAAACCTTAGGCATGATGCAATATGTAAAAACTATATTGAATGATAAAACAATTAAAAAACTTAGGAATGTTAAATTATATAAAAAAACTCAAGGCTGAAAGAGGTATTGAAATTGCTATGTGATTTACACTGAGAGTAGTATTGTATAATATATTATTATTTTAAACTTAGTGCATAGAATAGGCAGACGTACTAGTACACCCATTATTGTACTAAAATGGTAGGAGTCATATGTGTATGTGTGTCATAAAATATATAAAAAACTCAAGGCTGAAAGAGATACTGTAATTGTTATGTCATGTACACTGAGAGTAGTATTATATAATATTTTATTATTTTAAACTTAGTTCATAGAATAGGCAGACGTACCAGTACACCTATATTGTACCAAAATAGTTGGAGACATGTGTGTGTGTTTGTGTCTGTTACTAAAATCGGAAATGTGCAATCATATTTAGTTTACACTAAAACTGGAGTTCGAAAGGGTGTAACACTGGAGTTGGAAGGGTCACTAGAGTTGTTAGTAACGGAAATGTGCAATCATATTTAGTTTACACTAAAACTGGAGTTCGAAAGGGTGTAACACTGGAGTTGGAAGGGTCACTAGAGTTGTTAGATAATGAATTTGGATTATAATTGGTTTAGGATCAGTGATTAAGAAGGCGACGCCACGGTGTGAGGTGTGGCGAAGCGCGTCCTCGGTGCGTTGAGGAGCTGAGTCGACGCGGATCTTCAAAAGGCGCTGCCATGGCGCGCCTCAGACGTGGCGAGGTGAGGCGAGGCGCTCGCCTTAGAAAGCCAAGGCGAATGGTTAGGGTATTTGAATAATTAAGGTTACGAACATTGGGTTTCATCTTATTTCATAAATTAAACGAAACCTTAAATAATTTTGGTGTTTTCTTTAACTGATTGAGACACCATTTTCCGATGGGTTTCCGGCAGTTTTTTGCGACGCCGACGTCTTCACTAATGTGTTTGTCTCTTTCTTCCTTTCCTTTTTGGTTTTCTTCGTCGCCTTTTCTCTTCTAGAATTTCCTTTTCTCTTATCTCTTTTTCCTTTTTAAATACTGATTAATCTTCCAGTTTGTCCTTTTCCCTTTTATTTCTTTCCAGAATTTATCCCTCTTTCTCGCCTCTTCTTTTTCTTTTTATTTATTTATAATTTACTCCTGAGTTGGTCAAAAAAGGCTACTAGTAAAATATGAAGGTAATATTTATTTTGTGAAAGAATTCTTGTTGGACTGATATTTTGTTTTTCGTTTGTCAACTAATGTGTATATAAATCATGATTTGTGTATATAATTTATTATGTTTGCTATTGCCTCTCCTCGCTTTCATGAGGCGAGCGCCTCGCCTCACGCCTCACGGCAAATAGAAGGCTTGTGGCCTCTGCTTGCTGCACGTCTTTTTAATGTCTTTTTAATCACTGTTCAGAATAATGATGAAAAATCACAAATTTTGGAATAAGATTGATAGAAAGAGCTGTTATGAAATTTTCCTTCTCCTCATCTCTTAATTTATGCTTTATGCTTTTTTTTTTATATGCATCAATTTGAATTACTTTTATGCCATTAAAATTTATATCATTATCTTAAGAATTCATTTCTCTATCGAACTTTTTATAACACTTCATGCATTCTGAATAGAACATGTTTTATAAAATTATATTTTATTGTTTAGGCGCTCATTCGAATACTTAGATAGAGAAGACAAGATTGCAGCACATCTTGTTGGTGGTATTGATGCATTCATAAAGTTGCCTCAAGGTTGGCCATTGTCGGATCAGGGATTGGAGCTAATATCAGTGAAGAGCACAAGTCAGTACCCAAAAGAAATTTCGTTGAGCTTGCTTTGCAAGATTGTGGTAAGTTGCTGACTGCTAACTAATTGCTTCTATGAAAATGAGTGTTGTCTATTTTCCACGAATCAACTGTTTCATATATAACCTCTCGCTCATTCCATTTCAAAATAGTCATTGTGATAGAGATCAGGAAAGTAAATCATGAGAAGGAAAGCAAGAATGGAATAAATATTTAATGCACAAATCAAGGGATTGACGGGAATCATGGGATCCTAATTGGCATGGAAGGCTATCATATTTCTTCTTTATAACTATTACCTTAAATAAATAATATGCCTATAAAAGGGTTGCGAGGAAGTGATGATCGGGTATCGAGAAAAAAATATTGTTTGTCGGCTTTTTAGCTTGGGCGGGATTATTTCCCGAGGAGAACTTCATGTTCTCGGAGAACCTTGTGTTCTTTTTTTCTTTCTTTTTAATTAATAATATTTAGTTTCTGTTACATTGGCCCTTTACTCCTATCAATTGGTCCGACCTGCCACTACGAATGATGCATATTGAATCTCGCATTGAAGCCTTGGAGAAGGGTCAAGCGGTGCTTGAGTGCCGACTCAGTAATGCCGAGGACGCCATCACCAAACTTACAGAGTTGGTCACACGATTTTTATCAACCAAGCACAACAATCTAGCCACCTCCCAAGTGAATCATGTCAACAACTCGTCTAATGTAGATTCCACATCCTCAGTTATTGTGAATCATGTTGAAATTTTAGAACTGGAGAATGGCAGCAAATCCAAATCCACCGTCTCCACTACCTCTGCACCGCTAGTTTTGGTACAATCGGTTTCAGAGCCTCATGAGACTGCCAAGGTGCCAATTCCCCGTTTGGATCTATGCACTCTTAAAGAAGATTTTCTCATTGATGAGCAGTACCCTCACATTTATCACACAGGCAAGGCTATCAAATTCATGACAAATGTCTTCTCTTTTCCAATGCAAACGGAGGACTGGAAGCATATAATGCTCTATTCCAGTGTGCATGATGAGTCTCGTGGCCCCTATGCAATAATCAATGGTGTTCTTTTTTACAAAGGTCGTCTAGTTTTGCCGTTTACTAGACAAAGTTTTTTTCTTTGCAGCCTTGAGGACAAGGCTGTTTTCTGGCGGCCGGCAATGATAGAGATCAGGAAAGTAAATAATGAGAAGGAAAGCAAGAATGGAATAAATATCTAATGCACAAATCAAGGGATTGACGGAATCATGGGATCCTAATTGGCATGGAAGGCTATCATATTTCTTCTTTATAACTATTACCTTAAATAAATAATATGCCTATAAAAGGGTTGCGAGGAAGTGATGATCGGGTATCGAGAGAAAAATATTGTTTGTCGGCTTTTTAGCTTGGGCGGGATTATTTCCCGAGGAGAACTTCATGTTCTCGGAGAACCTTGTGTTCTTTTTTTCTTTCTTTTTAATTAATAATATTTAGTTTCTGTTACATTGGCCCTTTACTCCTATCACATTGTCAAATTCATCTATCTTTAGTGCCTTCAATTTGGCTTCTGTTTATTAGTCCACTTTCTATGCTTTTGATCCTGATATCATGATGACATATTGACTTATGGCAGACAAACGGTACTGAAATATGTGAAACTGGAACTGTAAAATTGTACATGTTGGGGGGAAATGTATGGCAAAAAAGAAAAGCATGGGGATAAAATTGAGGAACAGAGGAAGAGTTGTAGCATTATATTATGTTATTACATATTCTTTATTTTCCCAAGTTAGATAGTAATTACTCAACAATTACTTACTTTCTAGGTGGATCATTTTGTTTGGTTAATAGGTTCAGTCCTTTAATTTTATTCTTTAAAAGTAAGAATTATATCACCGAAGGAGGAGAGTCTTAATCATAGAAGAAAAGGGTTCGAAGTTTTAGGTCTCAAGAAAACCCAGTCATTCCCATTATTTTTTTTCTTATTTTCCCGTGCTTTAATCTATTTGTATCATTTGGTTTGGTTCCCTGCATCATGGGCAACTCTCTATCAGCTCATTCAGAATTTAAGTCTCTCTCGGAGCTGTTCGTGATTACCCAATATTGAAGATAGGGGGTTGCCCAACAAAATTCCAGAGAGACATGGCATGTAGCACATTGTTACATGAGACCAGCCATCTTTCCAATCACAATACACTCACGATACACCGAGGGCTTTTCCTGTATTTAGTGGTGTAGAGATGTAGAGAGCAAAGGGTCTTTTATTGGCTAAAAGACGCTTACACTTCTGTAAGTAACATCAATGCCTATACTACGAGACACCATTTTTTCTCACATAATTGTTCTATTCATAAAATTTCTTCTTATAATTACGACGTCTCCATAAACAATGAAAACAAAAACCGCCGCCACAATCCTAATTTTCCGTGACGCGCAATTTCCATGATCAACGCGTTAATCCTAATTTCCCCCCACTCTCGGTCTCCTTATTCTTCTGCCAATAGCTGTTGAAAGCGTAGAGACCAAAGCCCACAACAGAAGCCCATCACGATTTGCATCCCCGATCACTCCCAACCCTCTCTTATCACGCCCCTTGCAGTTAAGTCATCAATCGCTAATTCCAACCCGTGCAAGACTGGTTAGGGTTTTATCACCTACCCTAGAGCCGCAGATGGAGGTTAAGTACACCAAGCTGGCATCCATTGTCAGTGTCGTTTTCTATTGCTATGAGAAAAAAAACTCTTATATTCCGAGCTAGTCGAAACTTGTACCTCAAAATTCGACCAGAATTCGAAATGTTATCGAGAATAGGGATGGATTTGGGAATGGGATTTTGGTTGAGGATGATGAGATTGAAAGTGTGGGTGAAAAAAGTCAAAGGATAATCCAAGAACATAATTCAACAAATGGGGGAGAAAAAGATTCACAAATTCCTCTGCCATGGGAATTACTGCAGCCGGTTTTGAGGATTTTGGGAATGCTGATGAGGTGTAGGATGCGCCATCCGTGGCCGTTCGCCAAATTCTGATGTACAGCGGGAGAAGACGGAAGAGAGAAAGTAGCCACACCATTTTCACTATATTTCTATTTTTTTCCCCCTTTTTCGAGCACAATTTGTGAATTTTGGGAGTAGGGAAAAATTGTTATGTGGAGTTGGGATGGTTTTATGTCACCTGAAAAGACGACTTTTTTTGCGATTACGTGTTCTCTATGACTATCTTCAGCAGCAACTCTGTAGCTCCAGTAAAATAAGCTGTGTCGAGAAACATGAGTGGCAGAGGAGTTCATATTTGCGATTATGTGTTCTCTCCAGTCTCCACTAACTTCATCTGTATTTTCTGTTTCCCTTTCATTACTGCAAGCATTAGTTTCCAGTTATGTAGTTTGTGAGCTTGTTGCATCATCATCATCCTTCACAACTCTTGATAATGTGTCATTACTCATTAGAAGGGTGTATTTACCTGTTGGTAGTTGGAATAGATAGATATCTGGCATTTGCATATCTATATTCTATCTTTGACGTTCTATGTTTTGATCTCTAGCAAGTGGCAAACTCCTTGAATCAACGCGTACGTCACAACCTCAAAAGATTTGCCGACAACATTGAGGAGATAATCATGCAGCAAACGAGTGCACAAGTCACCTCTCTGGCATCGTGAAGATATAGAATCAAAAGAATTGTACCAACTTTTATTAACGTTCACTTGGCACGTGGGAATTATGTGTTGTTTGACTATGATGGGTTCTTGTGAGGTTTTTTTTCCAGCGAAATTGGATAGAAGATATATAATCTGAACCCTCTGATACTTAATGCTCAAACTAACCATTAATTTCTTGAAGTATCTCACTACTTTAAGATGTGGAATGTTGTACATATTTTTATCGGAGTTTAATCAAATGATTCAATCATCGGGTCGTGTCTCAAGGGAGGTTAGCCGGATTAAATTGTGCAAATATTCAATCACAAGAATAATAAATCCTAAACACTCTAATTCGATTTTTTTTTTTT